CTGTACTTCTTCTGAGCTTCTTAAGGGTAATCCTTTGCACTGAGAAAAAGAAACAAATCCTAACTAAATAAATGTGATGGGTGAAACTGAACACGCCAGACGGTTTTCTTTTGTGCTCCCTGGAAAGCCATTCACACTTGACCTGGATGCCTCAAGGCCAAAATTCTACTGCTGTCCAGCTGTGTGACTTTGCTAAGTCTCTCTTCCCCTCTCTGTTCTTTTTTCTGACTAGTTCCCAGATTAGCAAAGGGATGAGGGCAAGAGAGCAGACAGTGAGAGAAAGAAAATCCAAGTCTCCACTAATTCTAAGTCCTCCTTTTTCTTCCTATTTTGGACCTGGGCTGTGTGCCTGCCTGTTTACTAAGTATAAATCCAAAGCAACCTAGTTCATTCAGAAGGGCTCAGTACAGTAAATGCCCATTTCTGAGACACCCCTTCACTGTGAGGCCTTCTTTGTCCTAAAACACAACCTGCCATATTGCCGAGAATAGAAATTAGACCTCTCATTTCTAGGTCAGGCATGTTTGCTACTAAGAGTAGGAGGCAGTCAGTGTTAGACATGCATTATTCCAGTCATGAATTAGATATAATTATTACTGTGTTCAAAACCAGCTCTGAATCTATGCCTCTTTTGAGCCATTTGTTAGCTTCACGTTGACCTGGTTCTAAGTTTAAGATTTGAAAGTAGAGCCAGGAATACAGTTGAACTCAAAGACAGGTCCAGGACAGACTATTACCAGTTCCACACAAACATATATTATAGCCCTGCACCATCTGGCAGGGATAAACTGCCCAGCACATCGCTTACAGGCCAGTAGCACAATAGTACATGTCAGTGTGAAATATTTAAAGAACATTCTGGGACCAAAAAAAGTAGGATTAGAAGATTTTATTTCAAACAAAATTAAAACATCTTAATGCTTATCCATGCTGATATTCTGGACCTGTGGCTGACCAACTGTTTGCCAAGACACCCTGGAAGAGCCAGAGATTAAGCTACAGCGGTAACAACACAGTGAACACTGTAAAGATTAAGGGGCTCTGCTTGTGTTTTCGGCCTGTGCCTATAACTACATTATTAAGATATTAAACAACCTTTCCTCCTAACTACTGTCATTGCTTTATTCCCTTTGCTCTGAGAAAAAGAAACAAATCCTAACTAAATAAATGTGATGGGTGAAACTGAACACGCCAGACGGTTTTCTTTTGTGCTCCCTGGAAAGCCATTCACACTTGACCTGGATGCCTCAAGGCCAAAATTCTACTGCTGTCCAGCTGTGTGACTTTGCTAAGTCTCTCTTCCCCTCTCTGTTCTTTTTTCTGACTAGTTCCCAGATTAGCAAAGGGATGAGGGCAAGAGAGCAGACAGTGAGAGAAAGAAAATCCAAGTCTCCACTAATTCTAAAATGTTGGAAAATGCGATGTGCTGAATAAATAATAATGAATACCATTAGCTCTAATCTAATTGGATGAAAAATATTCTAAGGCCCCGTTCACTGTATATAAAGGGACACTCCTGTTTACAGATGAGGATTTTGTAGCCATTAAAGCACTTTTACCAGTGCCGCTAATTGGAAACAGTATTTAGTAGTGGTTACTACAAGTTACTGGACTTCTTTAAAGGTAATCAAATCACCTTCTTTTTAAAGCTTGCGTATTTGATTGATTAATTAATTAATTTTCCAAAATTAAGAGTATTGTATTAGCTTTCTAACACTCTAACAAAATAATTGAGATAATTAAGTAAAAAAGAGAAAAGATTAGGGCCGGAGATGTGGCTCAGAGGTAGAGCATTTGCAAGGCATGCTCGATGCCCAGGGTTAGAGCCCCAGCAGAAGGCGGGACGGGGTGGGGGGCACCTTGGCTCATAGTTTTAGCGAGTCCCGTCCATGACTGGGCAAACCCAATGCTTTTAGGCCTCTGGTGCAGTTGCTGGATGGCAATGGTGATGAATTCACGGTGGAGCAAACTGCTCAGGACCAGGAAGCAAAAGAGAGAGGAAGGGGCTGGTGCCCCGCAGGCCCGCATCCCCGAAGGCCTCCCCCACGGGCCTCCTTCTAAAGGCTCGCAGCACCTCCCCGTAGTGCCACCCTAACAACTACATGTTTAACATGTGGATGTTTGGGAGACATCAACATCTAAACTATGGCAGGATTAATGAGGACTTGCTGTGCTACTCGTATTCCTGCTGTATATGAAATCATTTCACTCTAGATGCAATCAATATTTGATAATTAGAGAAAATCTCAGAAAATAAAAAGTAATATATACCAGTTTATACTATTATGAAACTTCCTGGCACCTGCTTTGAAACTATACATTTCTTGTCCTTTCAATTCTATGTGAACTCACTCGATGGTAAAAGTCAGCAAGGAAAAAAGAAAAGGTAGCAAACAGCTTTTTATTGTACACACTCAGTTGTTTAAATCTGAATTACGGAGAAAATTTGCTGTCAGAGACATTAAGTAGTGTATTCAAATCCCAGCTGGTTAAAAAATATTCACTTTGATATCCTTCTATGCCCAAAGGGCAAAATGTATTATTTCTAAATAGTTGATAATCTGATAGTACTTCAATTCAACAACTCCTAAAGACACATAGCCATTAATCCCTTTCATAGTACTCCCTCTCACTCTGAAGACGTATATCCCATCATTCTTGGATCTTGCTGCAGCAGTTCTGGAAATCCTCTTTCATGAGCGTCTTTTTGAGGTGTGATCAAAAATATGGTGAACATTGCTGCTGCATCCAACCATCCAATGGAAATACAGGCTCATAAAAGCATTACGGTGCGTCCTCGTCCACCTTATCCACCAGACCTGGCGCTGTGTGACTTCCAGTGCTTCTCCAAAGTCAAAATGATCATGAAGGTTAATATTCTGAGTAGACTGAGGACATCGAGGCAACCACTACAGAAAAGCGAGATGCTCATGAAAGAGGATTCCATTAATGCTTTAGAAAATGGCAAGAACAATGGGATAAGGGTGTGCAAAATCCTTGGAGGGGAATTCACAGCAGTGTGCCTTCTACATTAATAATTTTTTAAAAATGTAAACATTCACCATGTTTTTTTTAATTGAGTGTATTAGTACATTTTAGGTATACAGTAGTTACATTCATTACTGGGATCTCGTACCTCTACATGACAGGTCTTGGTTCTCATTTTTTCCCCTTGTCCCTGCCCTCACGTACTATGAGTATTTGGATCAACAACATCTAAGATAGAGAAAAGAGACTGTAATTAGAGCAAAAGGAACTTTTTATAATGCTCTGAAGGATGAGAATATTGATTATGTTTAGGACTTATGTCGAGAATGCATGATAAATTTGTGGAGAAACGGATCACTCGTACATTGCTAGTGAGAATGTAAAATTGTACAGCCACTCTGGAAAAGAGTCTGGCAGTTCTTTTTAGAACTAAAAATGGACTTACCACAACCCAGCAATTACATTTTTGGGCATTTATCCCAGAGAAATGAAGGCGTGTTTTCAGGCAGAGCTTGTGCATGAATGTTCATAGCAGCTTTATTCCTAACAGACCCGAACTGGAAAACACTCAAGTGCCATTCGATGAGTGAATGGTTAAAGCAACTGTGATCCCTCTGCACGGTGGATGCTACTCAGCAATTAGAAGGAATGAACTAGTGGTACAGCACCATGGATGGACCTTAAGGAAACCCTGCCGAGTGGGAGAAAAGCCAATTTTAAAAGTATGCATACTGCACGATTCTACTTATGTAACATGTGCAAAATTTACAGAGATGGAGAACAGATTAATGGCTGCTGTGGGTTGGTAATGGAGAGGGGAGAGAACAGTGTATCCATAACGAGGAAACAGAAGGCAGTCTTATGGTGCTGTACCAAGGAATATCTTGATTCTGGTGGCTTCACGCATACAAGTGCATGTGTCGCTGGTGACAGATCTATTTGTTGGTTTTGACATTTTATTCTCGTATAAGAGAGATGTTAACATGGGGGCAGGTGACTAGCAGGAGAATGCTTAAGATCTACCTGTACAATTCCTTGCACCTTACTATGAGCCCACAATTATTTCAAGATAAAGTTTTAATTGTAATAATAATTACTGATAGAATTGAAATAACATACAGGAAGAACATCATAACCTTAAGAGTAGGGGGAGAAAGAGGATAAAGGAAGCTCAACCAATTCCTAGAACATGTAGGAGAGGATCATTGGGAAGCAAAGAAAAAGCAAGATAACTATGAACACACAAAAAAAGACAGTAGAAATAAATATATTTTGATAACAGTAACTTTAATTTTATCTGATTGCGAAATACAAAAGCAATCCCTTTCTGGGTAAAATAGCCAACATAATTTTACAATAAACTTCAGGCTGGATGTGGTGGTGTACACATATAATCCTAGCACCTTGGGAGGATGAGACAGGAAGATCCCAAGTTTGAGTCCAATCTGGACAACATAGGGACTTAGCTTGAGTCCCTTAGCTTGAACATAAAAAATAAAAGGAGTTCAAGCCCTAGTGCTACCAAAAAACAAAAACAAGACACAGTTCTCTTAATTTTATAGAGGATGCCTAAAAGTAATATTAAAGTGAAGAAATATCAACCTGGTGCTCCAAAAAATATATATTGGGGGAAAGGGAACAGGAGCTAGGAGGCAGAAGCAGAATTTGCTTTATGAGATCTTTCTTGCTTACACACAAAGGATTCATGCTGCCAGAGAACATATTTAAGGGAACAAAAATTGACCATATTCAGTTCCATTTTAAAAACACAATAAACAGGCATGGTGCACACCTGTAATGCCAGCACTCAGGAGATGAAATCAAGAGGTTATAGCAGGACTCTATTTCAAAAAATGAATAAAACCACAACAAATAGATTGCAACATTTTCAAGTGATGCTAAGTTGCTTATACAATCTGAAAGTCAAGAGTATGACTTCAGGACCAGAACTTTTTATGGCAAGCCCTTTAACTGGGCGGCTTAAGTCCTAAGAGTCTCGTAATCTTTTGCAGCCTCCATTGCCTTATCCTGGGGAGAATCCACCACGGTCCAGCAGACAAAGGGTCAGGAGCACCAGGAGAGGTTGGTAGGCTGGAGCCTAGTGGCTTGGACACAGCCCACCAGACTTACTTTCTGCAAACAGTCTTTCTCCAGAAGGATCCTCTGTACTCTCTGAACCTTCGTCACTGACTCCTGCTTCTCCCTCCAGATCACCATCAGTACCCTCTGCTTTACTGCTGTTGTCGGATCTTTCCTCCGTATCCTCCACATGGTATGAAACCACATTAATCAGAGATTTTCTAGAAGCTAGAGATCTCCTAGGGTTTATAGACTTATTTATACTATCAGATACTTTAGGTGAAAAGAATCTTCCAGGTAGACTTTGGGAGTAGAAGCATCAAATTGTTTCATGGCTGAGAACTGTGCTGAATGGAAAGAGATGTGCTGGATGAACTTGTGCTTGAAGTACCTTTAAAAGAATCATCGTCATCTTCATCACCTGAAACGATCCTTCTAGATTTGCTTCTGTTTTTAACACTAACTTCTGCTCCTTCTGGATCATTCACTGTCTTTCTTAGAAAAATCCAAACTGCTGTGCACAGACTCTGCACTAGAATTAGCTGCAGAGCCACACAAGCTATTTTCTTTCTCAACGTACTCCAGAGACTGAGTGGAGAGATTTTGTGTTTTGTCTGCAGAGTTTTCCAGGAAAAGACTGAATCCGCGTGCATATTGAGGTGATGATGCTAAAGGTTCCCCTTCTGACTTGGCCTCATCTGCATCAGTACACTATGGGATGCTGTTGATTCATTAGATTGTTTAATAACAGATGCATTTAATTTTGTATTTTGATTTTCATTTGTTTTGGGATTGCTGAGCCAGGGATTGTAGTGATGTAGAATCTCATCATCCTGTAGATCTAGATTTGGTGCATGATCAGCTTTGATTGATTGGCTGGATAAATAATTCAAACTTCCCAGGGGGTTCTCTTGCAGTGCCTCTTGCTCGGGCTCTTCTTGTAATGACTTTTTTTTTTTTTTTTTTTTTTTTTGCAGAGCTTTGTTTTCAACTGCAAAGCTTTCTGGGGTTCCAAGCAATGAGGCAGTCCAAATTTCTTCTACATTTCCAAACAACTCTGGGTAAAGTAGCTACAGAGTCAGTATGAAATACATTTTCGCATACCATCTTATAGCATGATTATATGCATCTTTACATTGGAGAGATCTTGATCCTCAGTGCTTATATTTACCATTTGAAAACTTATCTCTCCTTCCTGGGTAGGATGAGTAGTTGTAAGAGGTGAAGGCCAAGGTTGTGGTTTCTTCATTTTAGGATATTTCTTCCTTGTTTGGCCAGGCCCCCTTCATTTCCAGTTCTTTGTTTTTCCACTGTATTTTGAGACTCGAATCAACAAGGAATTGAACTCTCTGAACTCTTTGTTGAATATGCCGAGATTCTTCCATTACAAAATATATCAATAGTCACAGTAAGTGTTATATGATCCAATTATATCTCACATAAAATAATGACACAGCAGTGTTCACAGGAGGTGGAACAGTTGGATGAATGGGGAAATGTTGGACAAAGAATACAAAATTCCAGCTAGATAGGAGAAACGAGTTCACTAGTGTGTACAACATGGTGATGATTGTTAACAATATATTACATTCTTGAAAATGCTGAGAGTAGATATAGAATGTTCTTACACAAATGGTAGCTATGTGAGTAATGCATATGTTAATTAACTTGATAATTAATTAAGGAAACATAGATAAGTCCATCTTTGTGTAGATTTTTAACACAGCACCCCTGGAAACTGATAGACGAAGCAGCCCAAATTTAGTAAGAGTGATGAAGATTTCCGCAATGGATTAAAGGAAATAGAATATATAAAGGTAGATAAAATTATATATATATACTATATTAACTATTGAATGGGCAGGGCAGTCCTGGAGACTGAACCCAGGCTTTTGCACTGAGCAAGATCCCCAGCCCTCTTTATTTTTTTATTTCGAGATAGGATCTTGCTGGATTGACCAAGTTTGGCTCAAACTTGTGATATTCCTGCCTCAGCCTACCAGAGTGCTGGGTTATAGGCATGCATCACCACATCTGGCAGTACTCTTTTTTTTTGGACGGGGGGAACCAGGAGTCTAACTCTAGACCTTGCACATGCAAGGCAAGCAGCAGAACCACACAGCTAAATTCCAGGCCCAGTACTCTTCTTCTGATGCATGCACTGAACACTCATTGACCACACAGTACCAGTGAAAGGAATGTCACTTTACATTATGTACCAAGGCATAAAGCAAATGCTGATTTACATATAGCCTATTTTCTGACTACAACTACATTAGAAATGAGTAACAATAACCACCACTTTGTTCATTTAGAATTTTTAAAAACATCTCTGAATAGTGTAAAACTCTGATTTTTTTTTCTTTTTATTGAGTTTATTGGTACAATCTAGGTATACAATACAGTTACACTCATTATTGGGATCCTGTACCTTTACATGATAGGTCTAGATTCTCATTTTTTCCCCTTGTCCCTGCCCTCCCTTCACTCCCTCCTCCCCTCCCCATTTACAAACACTTTATTTCCATTTTTTCAATTTCTCATATTTTTTCCTCTCCCTTATTACCTTTCCCCCACCCTTCCCACTTTCCCTATTTCCCTACATTTAGCCCTTTACTTCCCATTTCACATTATTAATTATCTCATTAGGGTCCTGTATACTATTATAGTGTTTCACACCAGAGAAACTATTCAGTATTTCCGTTAAAGAAATCTCTGTATGAACATTAAAAATAGG